ACAGTCATAGATCAATGAGCCTGTCAAATGGGAAAAATGAATAGGAAAGCTGTTTGTAACAAGTTCTTAAAAGCCTGACAATCCCCATACTGGACAAGTTATGGGGGAAACACTTTGGGTATTCCCATCCCATCCATTGTAATGGAAATATTTGTCAGCTCAAAGCACTTAGTACAATACACAGTGGTTTAGTGCATGTGTGGAGATGTATGATGTACAAATGTCCGATTTCACCTCAATGATATAACATCCTCAAAACCAGTAAACCGTTCCTCATGTTCCCGCTAACACGCATCAGGTTTGAGGTGGGCACGTTATTGATCTGAGTGGAGCGATTAGCTCAGGTAGACGGGGAGGGTGAACCCTCAACAGGAAGGCTCTACTCCTCATGACCAACATATTTAACATATATTCATTGAATTATTAAGGAGGTGAACTGTGTTGCTATTTGGTGCATTGCGTCACTTCTGTGGTGCAGGTCGGTCTGACATATTAGTTCCTACATTGTATAGTTCCCCTGGACATGGTTACAGAATACTGCTATGATTGTCCCAACATTTGATGAATTAGTCTATAATGGTGGCTCGTAATTATTGAAAACATGTTGTTGATAAAATCAATCTAATAGTCATATGCTGGAAAACAATTAATGAATTTGGGAGCGATCAGCCCAAATGGCACATAAATGTTGTTGACATGCATGTACACACACCGATCTTGTGTGACAAAGTTTCCTGCTCCATCAAGTGGATTGTTTTGTCAGGGTGAACCCTATAATACAATAAAATGATTAAAAGTGCAGGAGTACGAGATAAATAAACACTTAGGCCTGCAAGAACAACCAAGGATACAGGGACCTAGCTAGTCAACCTAGGGTATGAGGACCTAGCAAGTGAACCCAAGGTATGAGGACCTAACCAGACAACCCAGTGTATGGGGACCTAACCAGACAATTGAGTGTATGGGGACCTAGCCAGACAACCCATGGTACGAGGACCTAGCCAGTCAACCCAGGGTACCAGGACCTAGCCAGTCAACCCAGGGTACCAGGACCTAGCCAGTCAACCCAGGGTACCAGGACCTAGCCAGTCAATCCAGGGTACAAGGACTTAGCCAGTCAACCCAGGGTACCAGGGCCTAGCTGGCCAACCCAGGGTACCAGGACCTAGTCGGTCAACCCAGGGTACCAGGACCTAGCCAGTCAACCCAGGGTACGAGGACCTAGCCAGTTCTAAACTTGGTTTGGTGACCAACTGAGTACAAACCTGGATATGGGGGACCAATCCTGAGTTTAGGGACCTACCCAGTACAACCCTGAATACAAGGACCAACCCAATACAACCCTGGGTATGGGGGATCAATCCTAGGTTTAGGGACCCACCCAGTACAACCCTGGGTACTTACCTGTACTGAGACTTCATACTAAAATGTACTGAGAGAGACCATACTTGCCTCTGTATGGAGGCCATAGTTACCAGAGTTTGGGGAGCCACTATAACTAGTATTTCGGGACCACCCTTGTACAATCTCATCTTGTATTGTTCTTAAGATGATTTAGGGACCACCCCTGCAAGGAAAGAAAAAATTTGACATTAAATTTTAATTTGGCTTTTTAGTAGTTTTTGGGTGTGGATCATTGGTTTTATTGGTTGGGAGTTTAGCCAACATGGCTGTTCATTGCCATTCAAATTGAATGCAGGTTCTGACTTGGCTTACAGCTGTTTTAAATCCAAACTCGGAGGTTTACAGATGAGCTGTGTATTATTCTGTAGCAGAATACTGAGATGTATTTGATACTGATGTCACAGTCCTACATTGGCAGCACCATGTTCTAATGCTGAAAGGTTTTATATGTACATGTACTGTACATACCTTTTATTCCAACATATTGTGTCAGTTCTAAAAGATAATTTATTGTTAGTGTAGGCCTTATGTGAGGGACAATGCAGAATGGGTACAGAGGGAAGTGTTCTTTGCTGTCTTTTGGGAACTATAACAGACCAATGTTCCTGCCCACTTTCATTACTTGTGATATCTTAGCTTTTTTCAGTTGTGTCTCTCTGAACAGTAGACTTCTGGTTAGTTAGGTGCCAGGTGACCTCTGGTCAGTTGGGTGTCAGAATAACATATCCTGGTCCTCAGTGTCTGACATTTCAGTAGGACAGCACTGTCATATTGTCCTTAGGTAGTCAGTAAGTAGATTGGTTTTCATGTGACTATGTCTTGGAAAGATGTAAAACCCAAAACAGACTCATTCTAGCCTTTGATTTGGTAAATCTGATTATATCACTAGACAGATGATGCTGTGTAAAAGATAATTGTTTTTTTCTCCAGTTATCAGTTTTAATTTTTTTTGACATCAGAAAGTACTTACAAAATGTTAGCCTCAGCAACAAATGTAATTTGGTATTGAATCCCTGTGAAACATTGATTCGCCATATTTACACAATGCAGCTACTTTATTATGTAGCAAACAATTCTGACATCAGCATTTGACATTGTGGGTGAGACAGAGAATACCCCACCAAGTTGTGTTTTAACACTGATTCGACATTAAGGACAGCAAGGAAAGTAAAGAACAAACACTGTTTATATTAACAAGATGGTGAATGTGTTATTACAGTCAGCGTCATTAGAAAACATTTGTCTTCAGGAATGTTTTCTCTCTAGACACAGACTGTGTTTTCTCTCATTTCCCTGTGTGTTAGATAGAGCTGCAGGGTGTAGGATAAGGAAATTCAACCCTCGGGATTTTCAAATTTGGCAAAACCCTTAGCATAGCCTCAGGTTTTACCAAATTTGAAAAACCCTCTGATGGAATTTCTCTATCCTACAGCCCAGAGCATGAACAAGTCTTATAATATTGTAAGGGATTGCACATACTTGCAGGTCAGAGTTCATATATTCCTAAAGGTCGCTCATATATGTAGGCCATACATGCTGTGCGTCACATGCAAGTAGGTCAAATACATGTAGTTCACATATACATGTTACTGTAGGTCAAATATACCGGTACATGTAGGTCATACATACCTGTAGCTATGGTTATACTTACCCATATGCCACATGTAGGTCATACATACATGTAGGTCACATTTACTTGAAGGTCATGCATATGTAGGTCACATAGAAAGTTGAATGTCTCTCATACCTGTTTGTCACACCTAAGGTCACAAATACCTGAAGGTCATATGCATGTAGGTAACCAATATTTGTAGGTCACTCAGGTATTTATATAGCAAACAAGGTAAAGAACCCAGATTTTAGTTCCTTGTTATGGACACATTTTCTTCATTACCAGCTTTTCGCATTACCATGGTAACGATGATAGATATACAGCATCACCTAGGGAAGACGGGATCCTGTATGTCAGTGACATTGATTTTTTGTGAAGAAATTCACAAAGCATGTAGCGTATATTAAGTTTAATTGGCTGTAGGCTGAGAAAGGTAATTATCTGTGATGGCATGTCAACCACTGTATAGGTATCCTGGTGGGGATGCATGTTACCATGGAGATCTTAGCCTCATCTTTTATTTCCATGGTAATCTGTATCTGATTTTGTCATCATTATTAATCAGTAGGGTTGTGGTGAATCTATGTACAATTATCCCTGGAACCTCTCTCTCTGTTCCTAAAAATATATATTACTTGAGCATTTTACAAAAAATCCTTTCTGTCGTTTATTGCTTCAGTATTACATTTTTTCTGGTAATTGAACGAGTATATATGTAGTTGCAGAGTAATTAATTAAGGTAAAGACTGATCTTACCGATATCAGATATAGGTTTTATTTACCAGAGACAGATATGGATTATATTTACCATAGACAGATATGGATTATATTTACCATTGACAGATATGGATTGTATTTACCATTGACAGATATGGATTATATTTACCATTGACAGATATGGATTATATTTACCATTGACACATATGGATTATATTTACCATTGACAGATATGGATTATATTTACCATTGACAGATATGGATTATATTTACCATAGACAGATATGGATTATATTTACCATAGACAGATATGGATTATATTTACCATCGACAGATATGGATTATATTTACCATTGACACATATGGCTTATATTTACTTTTGACAGATATGACTTAAGGTAATAGGATTGTGTCGCCATTTCTCAGTAGAATTTATTCAAATTTTGTAGTTATATTTCTTTGAAGTAAAGAAAATGTTCTGCCACAAAAAAATATAGGTTGTCAGAATTTTAAGGATTTTAAATGGAAATTTATGTAAAAAGGAGTGAATTTTGAAAAAAAAAATTGAAACAGAAACACACAATTTTTTGCAAAATAATGTCAATAAAAAATGATACTAACATAGATTAGTATTGCATTAATGTATATCAATTTCATAAACGCTGAAATTGTGTAAAATTAATTATCTATAAACGATTAAAAATTGACATTTTATAATAAAACCATATACACATAGTAAGTGCATGCAAGAGTTATCGTTCTTGAAAAACTTCACAGTAGTGAAATAGGTAGCCGGTTTCCTGACATACAGAAAAATGGACACATGTGACTCATTGATTAAAAAACAACTGAATTAATGCCTGGATTGCTTTGCAATACTTTAATATTGAAATAACACACTGTTCTGTCAATAATAAGCATACAATATTCATCAGTTTAATATTAAACATTAGAATATGTGGAAATTGTGATACTGTCTCCCTACATTGGATTTTCAACTAGGGATGTACTTACTATTTCCATTTAGCAATACACTCCTATGACCTTAATCTTCCAGTGTAAAATTGGGGTGATATTTAAGTCAATGTCAAAACAATTAAGAGGAATATACCTTTGAATAGTTTACCTCTTTCTCTGTCATAACTTTGTATACATTCCAGCATACCAAGTTGTCAGTCTTAGGTAAACTATCGGAGAACAAAGAACACCATACCCTCTACACAAAATGACTTAGTTAATCCAGAGAGATACCTTTGTATATTTTCAGATGACCAAGAACATTTTCGTTTGATGAACTCACAATCTTCCACTTGATCAGAAGGCTATGTGTGACAACCAACCCCAGGAGGATATGCCATGTTGGCTGGCTCTCTACTACCCCTATCACAGACCACTATCTACTCTGGGGGTTTACACGTGTGTGGGTGTACTCAACCATGCATTATTTGTCTACTCTTTACATTTACGAGTGTGTGCCTGCGTGTGTGTGACACATGTGTGATGACATGCATCAAAGTTTGAAAATGTATGTTTACATGTATTATTTGAGAACAAAAGATGGAGTTGTCGGGTGACTGCCTGGTTTTGATTTCAGTACTGAAAGTTAATTTAGAGATCAGAATATTGGATATGATGCTTTAATTGTACTATCATAGATTATTTATTCTACATTTGTAAGATTATCAGGTTACATTTGCTGAACAGTGGATCTAGTTTACATGAATTATTGACAGGAGAGATAGTGTGGGAGTTGTATATATATATAAACAGGTAAGAGTCCACATCAGTTAGAATATGTACTCAAAAGAGCAATAAGCAAAATTTTAGAAGATTAAACCGTGTAACAGTGAAAAATGTTATTCCTGAAAAGTCAGATTTGGATTTGAGACATGTTTGATAATTGTAAACACTGCAAAACTTGACTGTCTTTGATCAGAGTGAGTGATGCATGATGGGTAATGATCGCTGTGTTGACCGTTGAAGTAGTCATACCTGGTTACCAATATTATAGTGGAGAAATTATGTAGTAAAATGTCCTTACATGTCTGCCATCTTTGTACCTCGAGTCTTTCTGTTAACAGGTTGTATAAAGCTGTGCCATATATTTGTATACCCTACTGTAGGAGCTGTCGATCCTTATGTATCCAATAGATTTGTGTCACCTGACCAACACAACATACCTGGAAACTCAACATCATCACAAGGACATATACATATCCTAAACACAATTCTGAGAGTATATTGACGAGTTTATTGACAATTTTACAGTGGAACAAGAGTAGAGTGTTCAGAGATTACTTTTAAGACTTTTTTGTTTGGATTTTTTTTTTAAATCAAAAGTTTTTTATTTGAATAAACTGATTTACATCTATCTAACTTTTGCATTGTGGCTGTATTTGAAAAGGTTCTCCTGCAAAGAAAATAAATGCTCACTCAAAGGATCCATATACAAATTTACATTGTAATACTCTGAATGATCCAAATATTTCTGAATCTCGGTTTACTTTATTATCTCCCCTGGTGAGATTTGATACTTCACAAGTTGATAAATGTTGTTCCCTATTATATGCATTTGAAGTCTGTTGAAACTCTTTTTATGTTTTTTTATTTAATATTACATAGACTTAGTGCTCATTCAAAGTAAATTTCTCTAGGCATGTCCACAGGTTTGGGGTAGATATTTTTAACATGAAAATATTCAGCAAGGATTTCATTTAGCTGTTCATTTGGAGGGAACAATGTACATTTTTACCTTTTAATTTTCCCTTTAGTTTTTTCTTAAAGAGCCCTGAAATATGTAACAAATACCTGTTAAATGGCATAACACATAATCTCAAAGAAACTGTCTTTATAATGATGACTCCTGTGTATAGACAGAGACGTATATACGGAAATGTATTACAGTAACATATACGTCTCTGGTATAGGGATGTTCGATGAGTGCCCATTTATGTAAATTCTCACAGCACATCATTATGAATGACTATACAAAAACTATACAAGCAATATCCTGTGATTGAGTAAAAAAAAAATCTTTCAAATTCTCACTTATCTTGCTATGTAACTCTCTCGAAAACTGTCGACATATTTCTAGCACTTCATCAACATTGTCACTACGGTCATGTCTGTGCTCTGGCACTTTCACGGTTCAGGCTATGTCCTGCTCTCCCACCTCAGTCATTCTCTTCCTCTTCTACTGTTTTAAGGGAACTGACTTGTTAGTTAGGTCTTGCTGGTCTCTTTTTCTGTGTCTTTTTTAAGGGGAGAGGTTTAGTAGCAGAACAAAGTTTTGTCAACAGTTCCCACTTTTGGGCTGTAAACTACATGAACTCCTAGCTCCCATCTTCTGTCTCCTTGGCTACAGATATATTATAATACTGTTTTCCATCGTTTTGTACACGGCTCATCAAGTCTGATGGCATCATTTATAATTTCTCCATACTGTATTTCGCCTGGCCTATGTATTCTTACCACGAGGTCTAAGCCGAGTCAAGAATAGCAGGCCTATGTTTGCTTTTACAACCATATTGTCAGACGTGTTAAATTTATTGTACCTATTGTCCCTCCACATAAAAACAAATATTTTATTTGGGGCAAACAATGAATTGTTGTTTAAGCCAGAAACTCCAAAGAGGCTATGACTGTAGGTGCTAGTGATTTTTAAACAAATACCAGTACAATAGGCCAAGATTTTTAAATATACAACAAATTTCATTTCATTGTGAGACAGTTACTTAAAAAACTTTATTTTCTATAAACATATTAAAAAGTGTGGCATTGATTTAATGCAACTTCTAAAAAAAAATCTTTTTCTTTTTTTGAAACATTAGCAAGCTGTAAAATCACAAATATGTTAATTTACACAAATTTGTATGCACTGTGACATGGATTTATGGACTCTAGTTGTACGCTGTTTGTATTTTTTGCATAATTTTTCCCTTACTAAAAATATTTTGATGTTTCTTTTGAGCAATTGAGTAAGGATTGAAATGAAATTAAGATAGATTTATCAACAATTCAATAATTTACAGTATAATTCATTATTACAGTATTTTATTGTCATCAATGTATAAAGGGGAACAACTCCTACAGACCTGTAACATGCAGATCATAAAATTCGAGAAGTATTTATAGCCTCAATTAAGATGTTTTACAGTTATTTAAAATCGTCACCGAACTGTGTACTGGTAAAGGATTGTGTACAATACCTTGCAACTAAACTGTTGTCAATTATTTTTTCACTTTGTTTTGTTTGACTGTTTAGGTAATTTTCTTGTTTGCGATTCTCTTTGAGTTGACATGCTCTTTGTTTTCTGAGTTTTCTGAGTTTTAAACTTTAATGTGAATCTGTTGTTACTTAGGGTGTTTAATGTTGTGACTTTTTGGTATTCATTTCTTAGTAATTTATTTGATAAGTATCTAGTTATTTATTTGGTCAATTGCTATTTATTGGGGAAAAAACTGGAACAAATGTACAAAAAAGTCAGACTTTCTGTAAAGGATTAAACAGTATTAACTGAACCTATTCGTGCTAGCTTCATCCGTCCACAGAATATTATGAATGGAAGGGGCAGTAACTCTTACAACCTTGCTATCTATGTGTCTCCTATCCTTTATAAGTTAAGCTCCTTCCATGTCATGTATCTTTTTGTGACACGCAGTGATAACACTAATCTAATGAAACAGGTTTACACACTGAACATGTCCTTTGTTTTAACTGATACGCTATTGTTTTTATAAAAACTGAACAGTGTGATACTACAGAGAGTGCTTAGCCAATCTATGATAAGAGAATATTGTGATATGGTAGGTGTAGCTATGGTAAGACCTTGTATCCCTGTGCAGTCATTATCAACCATTTGTACATATTCGTCTATGCATATTCATGACCTTGGGCTATCAGTAAACATCTGTAAAATACACATTTATGCATATTCATGAACCCTTTTGTCTGCCATCTATACATATCTGGACAAACTGTGATGTGTTGAGATTTTACTTTTAAAATTTGTCTTTATATTTGTTAGATCGTGTTTGCATGTTCATCTGAAGGTGTGAATGAGAATGAGAAAAAGAATTAAGAGAGTTTGAAAGCTGACCTGAAATTGTGCAGGATTTCTTAATAAAGCTAATTTTTGCTAAAATAAAGTCATTGTTTTTTATTCCACTTAGTAGTGTGTTAGTAGTTATGTGACCACAAACACGTACAGCTGTATGTTCTGTATGACATTATGTTTTGCTTGTTAAAATAATAATAATATTTATTCAGGAAAAAAAGGCATGTCATTGCAAGATATCACAGTTTAGAATAACATATATAATTAAAATCACATTGCAGCTTGTAAATAAAAAAGAGTATTTTGTATTAAGACTAAGAATAATAATAGATCTGACCTAATAAAAGGTTTTTTAATTCAATCATTGACATATATCACAGAGTACAAAAATCTAAAAAAAGTCTGATACACTGTAAAAAAAAAGGCAGATATTACTTTAAAATGAGACAAAATGAGACAGACTACTTTAGTAAATGAAGGTATTTATAAATAAAAAAAATAGATCGCATAATAGGAGTGGTGGTGATTGCAATTTACCTAGGATTACCCATAAAGCCACAAAGTGGCTTATTTCCAATGGGGTCCTTTAAAAATGAAAAAAAATCAATCCGGTGACGGTTCAGATAGTGCTAAAAAGTATATGACGACACAGGCTATGCATGACTTTCTGTATTGTGAAGTGTAGGAGAAAACCCTTCATCACGACCTAAAAGGTTTTTTCCCTCGGGTACCCAAGTACATTACAGATAACGCCATTGTGTATGTTACATGATAATCTAAATCACAACACTTCGAGCACGTGTACATACGGGTAACCATCAGTGTGACGTCAAAACAAAGTTGTCAGGTGGAAGTCGATAACAAACGACATGACGGTATATCCGGAGGAGATTAAAATGTATGCCATGGTATGGGCACAGGGCTTGCCTCATCACGAAGAGAGACAAATTCGCCAGGACGTAGGTCGCACATCCGCTTTGTCCATCAAAGTGTACAGAAGCCAACTGGTAACAGAAAAAAATCATATGCATCGAGGTCATACACTTAACGCAATCAATTAAAGATATAAAAAATAGGACCGGAAAATATTACCTGTAAAATGACATTAGGGAAACGCTTTGGTGATCATACAAGTATAATCATCCTTGACAAAACATCACTTTTCCAAAAAAATATCGCAACAAATGTCTTGGGACAAAATGTGCCAAAATATTGTAATGTAACAAGGATTTATAACTCAAAATTGCTGAATCTATATAGCTATTGATAAATGTATGTTGCTGACGTAACAAAGAGATGACGCTAACCATACCCGACGTCAACGCACGGTCAGGAGTGGCGAAACTAGGAATCAATTTAAAACATTTTTTTATCGTTAAGTAACATATGATAGATTCATTTCGTTTAAAAGAATTTCTGTTTTAAGTTTTCTACACCATGACGTGCTCGTAAAGTAAGGTAAAGTGCACAAACAAGTTGAACTATATTATTACTGTAGTCACTACACTAATAGTCCTCCTCAAAATAGATATTCTGTAAGAATCATATGCTGCCATGCCTTTTACAGAAAAGTAGTTGTTTAGTACTTGAATGTTTGATAGTGTAGGGGGTTGAACAATGGAGCTTTACACGTACATTGCCTTACCTTTACCAGTATGGCATTAAAGGCACGTCATTAACAAAGACGATATACGATGAAAAACTTGACAGGGGAAGTTACTCTATGCCAGACAATCTCGTTTGGCTGCTTCATCTTCTCTATAAAAAAGAGAATACTCCAATTCAAAATAATGAGTGGAATTTTTCTTCGCGATTAAAACCGATTCGGTGGTGTCCTTAAACATAAGTTATAGGCATGACCATGAAATATAACTATTTTGTTATGCCATAAAATAGATTTAATGATAACACAAGTTTGATTTTATGATATCGTTTTAGAAGATATTTTATGGTAGCTTTTTCGGTTTTGCCAATGTACGCACGTGTTACCCATGAAGCTTAGTTTTTTCGAAGTATCCATCACTTCAATAAGACCACAGGTGATCGGGTTCTGGAATATATGTGACATATTTAGGTATCGAACGTCACTGTGATAATAAATAATTAGGTACCAGAATATATCATTTCTGTTTAAGTATCGCAACCCACTAGATATCGCAACCCCTTATACTAATAAATCATATATAATTAGTATACGGGGGGTGGGGGGGATACCTAAATATGTCACATATATTCCAGAACCCGAGCACCTGTAAATATGTGTAAAACGTAGTCTAGCAGGGCCAGGAACGTAAACACCGTCACATGACAAGGTAAACCTATAAATATGACAAGGTCCGGACACACTCGCATACAATTATACGGACTACTTACATAAAAGGCGAGATAAGTGCAGTATTCAGCTGTCAGTCTGTCTAAAACAATAGCGACCGTCTCGTGTGTGGGGCGTGTACCCTGTTTTCACCTGTGGATGGTTTATTGCCTGATATCAAGCGGAAAGCCTAAGGCGAAAGAGAACGCGACTATCCATCTTAAGTTAAACAGTTAAGAATAATCAGCGTTGCGACGAGAACCGTGAGAGTATATTACAGTGTAATAATGAACGGACCGGTTGTTGTCAAAATGAACAGTTTGGAGAGTGAAATCCCACCACGGACGGCAGAGAAGCGGTTCAAGGTACGATTCGCACCCGACCCGACCACCCTTCAGGCAAACCACGCATTTCTGCCGAGACTAGTAGAAAAATCAGGTGCTTGTAACGTGGAATCGCGGACCGTTACTGGCAAAAAGCTAAAATTTCTAAATGACATTTTCACGACACTACTGGATACACCGTGGCGGTTTCTACTACCGATATTTTCGTTAGCAATCTTGTTGAGTTGGGTGCTCTTCGCATCCGTGTTTTATGCTATAGCGTCCGTACACGGAGACTTTGAGCGGATCAAGGAGACGGAGGGATGGACAACGTGTGTAGAAAATACTCCAGACTTTATTAACATGTTGCTTTTCTCTATGGAGACCCAGACTACTATCGGCTACGGCACCAGGTATGTGAATGACGAGTGTCCTACTGCTGTTTTTTCGGTTCTGGTACAGTCAATAATTGGGGCCTTATTGCAAGCCATTCTCACTGGGCTGGTAATCGCCAAGGTTCAGAAACCAAAGAAGCGGGGGAACACTATTTTGTTTAGTAGAAATGTGTGTATATCAGAAGAAGGTAACGAGATGTTCTTGTCGATACGGGTTGGTGACCTGCAACGGTCGGACATGATCGATACGCATGCGCGTGCCATTTGTGTTCGTGATAGAGTAACAAATGACGATGAATTCATTTCTCACTTCCGGTATGATCTCGACTTCTCAGCACAAAAGACCAACCCTAGAATTTCTTTGCGTTGGCCTGTTACGCTGCGACACCGAATTACGCCAACAAGTCCCTTCTGGAACAACGATGAAGATGATTTAAGGAGAACCAATTTTGAAGTTATCGTGTTCTTACAAGGGACTATTGAGTCCACGGGAATGATGGTCCAGACACGCACTTCTTATCTTCCAAGTGACTTCCTCTGGGACCGGAAGTTTAAACCAATGATGGCTGAATGGAAGGCAACAGGATCACTCGATTTTGATTATTCTCAATTTCATGAAACCGTGTCAGTCGTGACTCCATCCCCCGGCCGGAACCGGAAGAACAACCTTTTGGTGCGCTCTCTGTCGCCAACAGACTCGTGCTACGGAACAGAATCGGGAAATGGAGAGGGTTGTAACACAGACACAACAGATTCAGAAAGTGAGCAGTCCTCAACTTACCAAGATGACCTCCACATACGGAAAATATCCGACATGAGTCAGGACATTAGCAGTTTGTCCGATTGACGGGAACAGCCTGTCCAAGTAACGGCAATAGTGTGCTGTGTAAAGGTGACCGTTTGTCCGAACTACGGGAACGGCTTATCCGATAAAGGGAACAGCTCGTCCCAGTGATGGGATAAGTGTGCCCATGTGACGGTAACAGTTTGTGCAAGTGACGGGAACTGTATGTCCGAATTACGAGAACAGTTTGTCCGACTGACGGTAACAACTCGTTCAAGTAACGACAACTGACTAGTGTGCCGTGTGAAGGTACCGTGTGAAGTACGCGAACTGTTTGTCCGATTGACGGGGACAACTCGTCCAAGTAACGACAACTGGCTAGTGTGCTGTGTGAAGGTGGCCGTGTGAAGTACGCGAACTGTTTGTCCGATTGACGGGGACAACTCGTCCAAGAGACGGGATCAATGTGTCCATGTGACGGTTACAATTCGTGAAAGTGACGGGTACTGTATGTCGACGGGAACAGTTTCAGAGTTTGTCGTAGTGACAGCTCGTCCCAGTGACGGGATTGACGGTAAACGTTTGTCCATGTGACGGCAACGGTTGTCCAAGTGACGGTTACAGTTTGTGCAAGTGAAATGAATAGCAAGTCAAAGGAACGGTAACAGTCTGTTTACTTGATGGAAAAGATTTGCTCAAATGACGGGAAATCAGTTTGTCGTATTAAGAGAAAAAAAAATCGTTTGTTGGACTGACTTAATGACAGGAACAGTCTGTTCCACTGAAAACATACATGAGGGTCATTAAAACGTTTGTCCGCGTGAAAGCAATGGTGTTCGAGAGAAGATAATGGTTCGTGTTTGAGAAGGCAGCAATTTGTCTCGCTATCCATGTAATCCAAGACCGTTTGTCGGAGTCGGCATGAGTGAGGACATTTTTCTCAAAATCATAAACATTATATTGGACTTATTACACGAGCTTCAAAGGGTTTTACTTTAGTCACAAAGTGAACAAGTTTGAAATTGTCTAACCAAAGTAAGAGCAAGTACACATTTTGTGACTGATAAAACAACAGACACTGGTCATACTTGATGTTGCCTAGGAGTTGTACTTTATGAATAATTTGTGAAAAATAAATTGTTATTAGTACCTGTGAGTAAAACCAAAGGAATATACCACCGTTTTTATCGTTAGTTTGTGATGTTATTGTATTTGTTAAGTAGTGACGCGATATCAAATTCAAATAATGTTTGAAATGTCAGAATGGTTTACGATGGAAATCAGTCGCTGTACGGAACTGATAAACATAGAAAGCACGAAAAAATGTTTGACTACAAAGAACGATATAAAATGATATTACCTTTGCTGTTTTGAACGTAAATATAAGGATAAAGATGCATCTTTTCACATTTTATATGAATATGTTTGAACGGAACTTTGTTTCATAACATCATAAATGTGAAAAGAGGCATTTCAATCCTAAGTATTATGTTTTGCGTATGAAATCCGGCAATATGACCTATTGTGCATGACGTCATCAAAAGATAATGGAAACCCGTCACAGCCTTCCAGCATATTTATTATGCAGTTAGGTATTTTAGAATTCCAAAATGACTTAAAAAAATTCGTGGTCATGTAATAAAAAATTGTCTTGAATTTGTTTTCCATTTCATACCAGTCTTATGAAACACGTCGATAATTCGTCATTCTTGTGTACCAGACTCGCTAGAATGAATTATTCCTTGACTCGTTTCGTATACCACTGGGAGCGATGGAACTTTTAGCAGTAAGGGAGGATACAATTAAGTTGTTATATAGTACACTGTAGATGGTGATTTTGTCAGTGTTCGTTAAATTTATGTAAACAAGCTAATGTGATTTTATCTTTGTGCCAACAAATAACATGTTCTTCAATCATTTATGTTGTTGTTTGTCTCGTTTAGAATAGTCTATTGTAAACTATCTTCAAAATGGAATTGAAACTGGAGATGCTGTAATAATTTTGGTATGGAAGGGTACTGAAGCGTCTGCTTTAATCAGATTGGAGTAGGAAAGGGCCAAACGGGACATAATCGTCCGTTATATGTGATATTCTCTTGTTTTGAACAAAAGCGCTCATCGATCTGATAAGATTTTCTACCGTAATGGTTCTTCCAAACAATACAATTTTTCAGTATTACGAACCAATAACCGGATCCCGTACCTAATAGTGGTAAGCTGGATTTTTGTATAACTCCTGTGCAATTTCTATCTATTCGCTTTTTTTCCGAACCGGTCAAACGCGGGGCTTTCTGAACTATAAATGGCCACAGTGACCTTAGCGTTGAACTTGAGACCATGAAAATACGAAGTATTTGATCTTTATATAAACTTTGATTAAAAAAATTGTTAAGAAGTGAGAAGTGTTGATAATGAATCGCCACAGGACGGGACCGCCCCCGACCCCAGACGTAAAATGGTATATTGATGGTATTTATTATTGTTATTAAACCCGCATGGTTTTATTAAGATTCGTTTGATAACAATATATACCTGTCCATCTTACTTGTTGTTTCATAACAATATATACCTGTCCATCTTACTTGTTGTTTCATAACAATATATACCTGTCAGTCTTACTTGTTGTCAGCCAATTCACCGCGCGGGACTGGTCTGACACGTTTATTGACCAAGATATGGATATTTCTAGAATAGAGGTCGCGTTATTATGATTTGGCCAAACGTATATATTTGGATACCGGAGGAGACATTTGCATAAAATTAATGTACATGAAATTGTTGAATGCCGAGTAAGGTCATTTACATTATAGCTGTCACAATAGAGGATTCCCATATATATCACGTAATAATAGAAAATGAAAGGTACACGTTACATATATAGCTCCATCCTTAGCTCTTAACAACCCTACAACAGTCACTCCGTATGACAAGTTATATACAAAATAAATATGACAACTAGTGATAATCCCTATAGAATACTGTGACTGATTTGTGGAGTTTCTTGTTTCGTCTTTGCGCCCCGAAAAAAACGATATTTAGTCATTGACAGTCCTAGTTGTCTTGTCGTTTTGCCCCCGAATAGACGAGATTTAGTCATTGACAGTCCTCGTTGTCTGGTCGTTTCGTCCCCGAATAGACGAGATTTAGTCATTGACAGTCCTCGTTGTCTGGTCGTTTCGCCCCCGAATAGACGAGATTTAGTCATTGACAGTCCTCGTTGTCTGGTCGTTTCGCCCCCGAATAGACGAGATTTAGTCATTTACAGTCCTCGTTGTCTGGTCGTTTCGCCCCCGAATACACGAGATTTAGTCATTGACAGTCCTCGTTGTCTGGTCGTTTCGCCCCCGAATAGACGAGATTTAATTGTTTTCTTAAATCTCGTTCGTTCAGTTTTTCGGCAAATCACGAACGAATCTATACCTGTCTTCTTTTGGGTGTAAAATCACGTCATTTCGTTGTTTCGTCACTCCAAAAAGACGAGAGTTCACAATTGTTCATTCAAATGTTAAATGTTATTATGACGGAGTCAGAAAAGGAAGAAGCGATGAGAATTAAGAAATACTAAACCTCGGTTTTTTTCGAGGCAAGAAGTCGAAACAATGAAGTGGTACAGTACAAATCGGTCACCTTACTTGAATGTTAGGACTCAATCTTACTACAGTAATAGTAGATTTGAACAAAATGATATGAAAACTACTTTGTATGATTTTACGGTTTTGATTTTTTGTAAAGTTTTGGAGTCAAATTTATTCAAACCGTACACACAGTCTTTTTAGAACGTTGATGAACATATTGATTTTTTCTTCAAAATTCATGCATATAAACAATAAAAATGCCTTTCCATCCCTTCACATTTCACTTGCATTTTTCTTATGACAGACTGATAAAAATTCGTATTAAAAGGAAAACGATCTCGTCCCTTTAGAGAAAAACATAAATAATACAAAAGCAAAAGTGTGTTTTTTGTGTCACAAGACGTGCCGTTTACGTCCCTATACTCGTCAGACAGAAGAGGCAAAATCAGTGCATCCAGGTTAACAGAAGTGACGAATGAGAACGCACGACTAAAATGTAACCTAAAGCTACGTTAACATATGTCCAAGGTGCACAATACAACAGACTACACACGATCAGTTACGAGAGGGCCGGATCTCCACACACGATCAGCTACGGGAGGGCCGGGATCCCCATACACGATCAGCTACGGGAGGGCCGGATCTCCACACACGGTCAGCTACGGGAGGGCCGGAACTCCACACACGGTCAGTAACGGGAGGGCCGGATCTCCACACACGGTCAGTTACGGGAGGGCCGGATCTCCACACACGGTCAGTTATGGGAGGGCCGGATCTCCACTCACGGTCAGTTACGGGAGGGCCTAATCTCCATACACGGTCAGTTAAGGGAGGGCCGGATCTCCACACATGATCAGTTACGGGAGGACCGGGATCTCCACACACGATCTGTTATAGGAAGGCTGGGATATCCACATACGATCAGTTACGGGAGGGCCAGGATCTCTCCACACACGGTCTGTAATAGGAGGGCTGGGATATCCACATACGATCAGTTACGGGAGGACCGAGATCTCCACATACGATGAGTAACGAGAGGGTCGGGACGTCCACAAACGACACGATCAGTAACAAGAGGACCGGGATCTCCACACACGATCAGTTATGGGATGGCCGGAATCTCCACACACGGTCAGTTAAAGGAAGGCCGGAATCTCCACACACGATCAGGTTATGGGAGGGCCGGGATCTCCACACACGATCTGTTGCAGGAGGGCTGGTATATCCACACACGATCAGTTACGGGAGTACCGGGATATCCACACACGGTCTGTTACGGGAGGGCCGGGATCTCCACACACGATCAGGTACGGGAGGGGCGGAATTCGACACATGATCAGTTAGAGGAGGGCCGGGATCTCCACACACGATCAGTTATGGGATGGCCGGAATCTCCACACACGATCAGGTACGGGAGGGGCGGAATCTCCAAACACGGTCAGTTACGGGAGGGCCGGGATCTCATCACATGATCAGTTACAGGAGGGCCGGGATTCGACACATGATCAGTTAGAGAAGGGCCGGGATCTCCACACACGATTTGTTACAGGAGGGCTGGGATCTCCACACACGATCAGTTACTGGAGGGCCGTGATCTTCACACACGATCTGTTATAGGAGGGCCGTGATCTCCAAACACGATCAGTTACGGGAGGACTGGGATCTCCACACACGATCAGTTACGGGAGGACCGGGATCTCCACACACGATCAGTTACGGGAGGACCGGGATCTCAACACACGATCAGTTACGGGAGGACCGGGACCTCCACACACGATCATGATCAGTTACAGGAGCGCCGGGACCTCAATATTTACGAGTACATTGTTATATCAAAACACATCTCTTTTACCCAAACCTCCTGTCTAATGTCCCACACACACACAAAAATATACACTAACGGCCACTCCCTGGCTAATAACACATTCACACATACCCATTCGTCCTCAAGTATCATATTCTCGCTTTAAAACTCTAATATCCTAACATTCTCACCCATACAACCTAACACAATTTCTCATCCAAACCTACAATATCATATCTCCTCTCCCAAACAACCTAACACCCCGTGACACCCACGCCCTCTCCCAAACAACCAAACACCCCGTGACACCCACGCCCTTTCTCCAAATAATAACACCATTCTCATATTTCAGTCAGCAATTTAACTGATCACACTCTCCTTCACTTAATCAACATCCTCATCCATCCATTTAACCCCAACCCCCTCCCACTCCCCCTCCCCAACCCCACCAACCAACTAGCATTCTCAATCTTTCTCCATCCCGAAGCGCTTTCCCTCGAAAATGAATACCCCAACCTCCCTCCCAAACCAACACTATCCCAAAATAACTCCCTTATCATTTATCCCTTCAAGACTAACACCCTCGCCCTCTCCCCCTCTCAAACTAGCTCGCTTATCATTTATCCCTTCAAAACTAACACCCTCGCCCTCTCTTCTTCCCAAACTAACTCCCTCAACCTCTCTCTCTCTCTCTCTCTCGCTCATAAGCTAACAACATAACCCTCTCTCCCTTCTCAACTAACTACCTCACTCCCGCTCCTCTATAATTAACACCCTATTCCTCTCTCTCTCCCAGAAATTAGCTCGCCCATCCCCTCTCTCTCCCAGAAATTAACTCGCCCACCCCTCTCTCTCCCAGAAATTAACTCGCCCACCCCCTCTCTCTCTCCCAGAAATTAACTCGCCCCCCCCCCTCTCTCCCAGAAATTAACTCGCCCACCCCCTCTCTCTCCCAGAAATTAACTCGCCCCCCCCCTCTCTCTCCCAGAAATTATCTCGCCCCCCCCCTCTCTCTCTCCCAGAAATTAACTCGCCCCCCCCCCCTCTCTCTCCCAGAAATTATCTCGCCCCCCCCCTCTCTCTCTCCCAGAAATTAACTCGCCCCCCCCCTCTCTCCCCCAGAAATTAACTCGCCCCCCCCCTCTCTCTCCCAGAAATTAACTCGCCCACCCCCTCTCTCTCCCACACTAATACCATTACCATCGGCTATGTTGTGACACGTGTTGCAAAGCAAAAGTAGACATGAGGTATGGATACAATAACTTTACTCTCGAATAAATCTTAGCCATAAGTCAATAACGAGATAAATAATCCATGTGATTATTTTCTAGGTTAAAAGAAGTTTGCAATCGAAATTGCTTAAAATGTTGCAAAGTGAAAAAACACCAATATAGACATAAACTCAATGTCGTAGGTATAAAATGCTTATTATAATAACACGCCCTGAAATAGCATGATGCGTTTGGACAAAGCTAAATGGAGGTTGCCGCAATATGAGAGACAGAGCTTTACCCT